CTGGGTTGGAGAGTGGGACCAGGGGAGCGGCAGTGGGACCAGGGGATGAGCGTTGGCAGTGCCGGTGAACAGGCGGCCTGTCATGCATTGCCACCCTTAAGTAGCAGCAGCTTCATGCATAACCTCGTGCCTCACAGCAAAATTCGCTTGGGACAAGTGATTTTTAACCAGTCCAGTTTTACTCCCTCTCGGTGTTATAGAATCACTTATGTTGGAAAAGACCCGTAAGATCATCAAGTCCAACCATTAACCTGACACTACCAAGTCCACCACTAAACTATGTCCCTAAGCGCCACTGTGGTTGCATGAACACATCAGTTTTCTTACCTCAAATCAGTTGCGCCCCGCCAACCTTCCCCACCGCGTGGCTTATCATCATCTGAAGTTTGCAGGGGTTGATAGGTAGCCCCTGGTTTTGAAAGCAGGTATGTGTTTTCTAAAGCACATAGCCTCTGCCTTGCAGCCATTGTTCCTTCTGGGATTCAACAGTGGCAGTTATTTTTCCATGTTACCTCTGTTATGAGTCCTGTTATCCTTGCCGATAGCTGAAGTACTGGGCATTTGTAGCACAAAAGTATAGCAAGACTTGGCTCACAACCAGGAATTGGCATACAGAGGCCATTAAGAGGCAGGCTGCAATGGCAAGAGGCAAAAGCCTGACCATCAATCACACATTTGTACGGGATGTGACAGAAGATCCAGCACTAAGATACGCTTTGTGGCATGCAAGGGAGATGGCTGGAATGGCATAGGGCAGAAAAGACCTTGAAGAGTCTGATGAGCTCTCCCTCCATGGGGGGGCATATGAGACATTGTATAACAGACAAAATTGCAGGCTTCTTGCTTGTCTCTAGTCCTGTGTCTATAAAGTCAAGCAGCTTTTTATTGCTTTCCTAACTATGCAGTTTATTTGCTTCCTTAGTATGTGCATGCTGCAGTTGTGGAGATCCCCTGGGGTTTTACCTTTTTTGGTTTTCTTTCTAACAGAAGTTCCTGTCTTCAAAAAAAAAAATTCTTATTCTTTTAGACTAGAGAAGAAGACAAAAATCAAGATGGCAAAATGGATCAGTTGCATTTTAAATTGGAACTTCCGCTACAACCTACAGAGGATGTAGTTGGTGTTCAGCTGATTCTACTCTTTTCCTACGAGCTTTATGTAAGCATTTTTAGTTTTACTTGTTGTGACATAGACACAGTGTAATATTCCAGTAGTGGTTATGCAAAGGATGAAAGAAACTTTCCACATTTAAAATTCGTATGTAAAAGATTTATTCTACTAACAAATATTTAATTTTCTACTCCTCTGCTGGGTCATTCCTAGTCTAGCTCTGTTGCGTATTTTGATATGTTTTGTTAGAAATTTTTTTTTTAAGCTTCATTTTTTAATTTTTTTAATTTTTTTGGGGCTGTAGAGCAGCATAGAGGACAGATCCACAACAGTGGATATCAGTGTGGGTGGCACCAGGAAATAACTGAGAGTCTTGCAGTAGGCAGAAGGATGTGCATTCTTACATACTGCTGTGTTTTGACCACTAACCAGTCAGTTTTCTGAGGTGGAGAGGCAGGCTGTTGCAGCAGCCTAAAACTCCATAGAGTCAGCGATTAGTATCACAGAGAGTTCCAATATTCACAACACCTTTCTTTTACAGTAAATGTAAAATTTTCCTTCAGATTGAGTGGTTGATAAGGGCTAAGGAACTTCCTTGTTTGGTCCTTATTGCAGAGCAGGAGTCCTTAGCCGGCTTTGACTGCTGAGTATTCTAAAGGGTGTCTCCAATTAATGTGTTTACTCATCTTGCTGCTTTTCACATGTTATGGCAAGTCAAATCTTTCTGTCATTAGCCACAGACTGTTGGACTTCACTGAATTTCCTGTGGAACTTGGGTTTATAAAGTTAGTTAACTAACAACTAAGGTAGTTCACTTAAAAAAAAGTAATTAATATTTCTTATTTGGTGTTCCCTTGTTTAGACAAATGTGACGATCTGAAACTTGGGAGTCAGGGAAAAAAATCAAATCCATGTAGAATATCTGTAGAAACAAAGAGATAGAAAAGTGTTTTGTGTTCCCCCCCATCTCTAAATTCTCTTTTCTCGTGTTCACCATTTCAGAGAATGTCAACACTTGTGATGCAGAGCATGGCTTTTCTTCAGTTTTTTTCTCCTGTGCCAGGGTCTCAGCTCTATATGAATGGAGACCTGAAACTGAACCAGAAGCAATTACTTAACCATTGTGGACTGGATACCAGATACAATGTGAGGAAACTTTTTTCCTTCCTCATCAATTTCCCCCCCTCTTTATCCTCCTAGTACCATAATTATTTGTACTCCTGCACAGAGTGGACCCTAGAACTTTGGAACTGGTGTTTTCTTGTTAGGCTGAAAGGTGGAAGAGGTTATTCTGCCAAAATGTTCAGTCTGATGTTTACGTGCATTCCTTCAAGGGCATGGTTACTTTGCGTAAGAAACTCAGTAGAATTACTTTCTTAAAGAGTGTACAAATAATGCAAGCATCTCCTTGTTGTAACAGGTGTCTGTGGTCAATGGCACAAGTCCTTTTGCGAGTGACTATGATCTAACAAACATCATTGCAGCATATTGGGATAGAAATGGTAAGCCTGAATGTGTAGCTGCGAATTACAGGACAGTAGTAGTTATCGAATTGGCAGCTGTTCTGTGAGGATTTGAGTTCTGTATTAAGACTGAAAAGCCCCTTAACCTGGATGTTTCCTTTCCCCATTTCAGTGACAACAGTCTTTTCAGATCCCAACCCTGTCTGGATGACTGGAAGAGCAACAGATACACCATTTATCATTAATGCCACTATTCATTACCCAATGGAAGTTATCTTATATCCTTTGAAAACTGCATAAACTGTGACATAACTGGGTTGCATTATTTGGGCCTTCACATATAGGCCAAATAAAAACTGTTTTCTTCTAGACTTGTTGCTAAACTTTTCCTTCGTTAGCTAAGCAAATGCTATAGTTCTGGAGTTAACTGAATACCTATTTGCCAGTTCCTCCAGATCGTTCTCCTTGTGTAACCATTTTTTGCCTTTCTCTACTGGGAACCTCTATTGCTTTTCAGTCTTACTAAACTGGCCTTTAAGGCAGTTTCTTAGTCATTTACAGTCAATATCTTTAGTAAGTCTTGCTTTGCTCCTGCAGCACCTGCTGTCCCAGTCAGTCATGGATGCCACTAGCAAAGCATAATACTGTATTCTGTGACTTAAAGCAAATCATTAGAAATCTGTATGCAAGGTAAGCTCACCAAATAATAACCCCCGCAGCAGATGCAGCAAATCTGTTTTGTGCAGAGAGAGAGACCTGAAATTTTTTTGTCTACAAAATAACTCTTCGTTCATTATGTTCTTTACTCATTTTCTCAGACAAGAACGAGCCTGTGTTTAAAAGATCTGTATGGAGCACATTTCTTACAAGTTTTGTTTACCTGCCTGAGTATTACCAAGTAACTACTTTCTGTTGAGTCAGGGACGAAATAGGCACTTTCCACAGAATTGATTTAACTGTTTTCTAGGACAGACATTCTCTGCAGCTTTTGTTACATACTACAGTAAAAGGCTTTTAGGGGTTTCCATGGCTCAAAGGCTTTGCATTTGCCATACAAACTGGTATCTAATGAGTTTTGTGCCTTTCCACCTCTGAGCTCCTTTGTTTAATTATTGCAGTGGTAGTATCAGAAGCTTCTTCATTTACACTCCTTGACTTTCTTTAAATATCAGCCAGGATTTTGGGAAATTATTAAATTTGCCTGGATGCAGTATGTCAGCATTCTCCTTATCTTTCTTTGGGTGTTTGGTAGGATTAAAATGTTTGTGTTCCAGAATCAGGTGTTGACTACAACTCCAATATCACCAGTTCTGCCGGTGTCTCCAGTACTGTCCTACAAACAGCACCAGTCCTGAGGAGATGCCTGAGAACACTTTAAAGAAATGCAGTTCAAAAATAAATACCTGCTTTTATTCTCTATGCAGTTTTTACTTTGTAAGATCAGAACTTTGTAAGTATGTTCCAAGTATGTTCTGTTTGTGCTTCCTTTTTAAAATACATGTTCATTCATCTGTTTCTCTGGGAACACTGCTTTGGGACTGAAAATTAATATTTTTGTCAGTTAAAGAAGAACCTAGGGTTTTTTGCAACTGGAACATGCTTCAAAAACCAGTAGAAAGCAATGAGACTGCTTTTGCATTATCTTAATTTTGCTAAGCCTTGAAGACTGAAAATAATATGCTAACAGTAACAACATAAGCCATTTTTACTGTCTTGTAAATTAATTACTGCTGAGTTAGAGTTCTGTCAAGAGCTATTTGTACATGCATTTATATGCACTATGAAAGGAATGTGGAAAAAAGTATGGATGAGTTCGTGTCAGAGCCACACTTCTGTAACTGTGGCTGTATGTGCTCACTGGTTTAGTTATTAAATTGGATGATGGATAATTCAAGCTTGATGTGAGAAACTGGGTTGTGGGTGATAGTGTCTGCAAGGTTTGGCATTAGTTGGCATTATTACTGTAGCACTAGACCATTAATTGTGAATTGGCAATAGTAAAACAGAAAAGCCTGGTATTTATTTAAGGAAAACTAACAAAAAAATAGAGACGCTTCAGAGTTCCAAAGCAAGTGAATAATTACTTTCAGAACTTAAATGGTAACTTAGAACAGATAAAAATTAAATCAATTATAATCACCTGGTAAGCACTGAAAAAAGACCCTCATTCTTGATTGGGGGGGCGGGTAGGGAAGATTATTTAATTTTATTTTCTCTTTCTGGGCTTACTTTTTATGCCAGACAAGCTTAAAAGAGAAAACAACAAAATTTCCATTATGTTTTCAGTTTTGTAGTTAAGATTTAATTCTAGCAAAGCAGTGTTATGGCAGGAGAGCATCTAAAAACCATTCTAGATGCTAGTTAACAAAATTCTGAGTGTCTTTGGTTCTCTTGAACTCTTAAGACATGGTGCAGCTATGAAAAGTGAAAGAGCAACTTGTATAGCAGTACCCCATCTTTTCGCCGTTGTCCTCTAGAATTCAACATCCTGGCAGTTTGGAGACCTGCCTATTCCTTTTTCTTTTCTCCTCCAGCTTCTTTTTGAACTTCTGTTTAAGCTTATTTTAAACTTTGTAGTCTTGCAGCTTGCATTTCTCCCAACTTTTACATGCTGGAGGGACTCCAGCCTATTCTTCAATGCAAGTGAAACATTAATGTGGGGAGCCACGTCTTGGTTACTCAACACACTTTTGTGCTTGTGAAACTTACGTACTTATATGTGAATTGTAAATTATTGCAAGGAGCATTCACTATATATATACATATATTTTTTTTGGTTTGAAATCTCCAGTTTGCTCTTTGAAGTCTGTACCTGGCAGCCTAGGACTACTGATAACTTCATATCAGAGTGCACAGAGTCAAAGCAACTGTCTACTGCTTTTTAGTGTTTCTAGGCTCTACATAGGATGAATGAAGGGGCCTGTGAGCTTGTTTCCCCAATATCTCAAGCTGATGTACATCTGGTCTGCTGTAGTCCCACTTCTCCTTTGCAGTGGTAACAGTGCTTGTGTGACTGCATGAGTTAATTCAGGGAGTTCATCATGGTGAAGATCATCCTTACCAAATATACTCACTTTTTCAGACAAGTCAGTTCCCTGAACAAACTTGGTATGGGTCTGCACAAGCATTAGGGTGGGCATAAGCAAGGGACAGAAATCTATGGAGAGACCATAGAACCCCATTTTAAGGGTTTGAGCTGTTGTACTCCCACAAAAATGGAATGCATAACAGCGCTCCAAGCTGAGCAGAAGCCTGTTTAAGGTAGCAACTGGAATGTGGAGGATAATGCCAGAAAACAACAATAATACTGGGAGACTCCATTACCCCCATCTCACTTTTCTCTCCTGTTGTATCCTTCCACATTAAGTTATGACAAATGATGCTGCTCAGAGCAACAGTTCAGTGAATGCGTATGAGATAAGAAATGGTGAATAGGTCTGGTTCAGGAAATACAGAGAAAAAGATCCTTTTGTCTATTTTCCTTTAGAAGGAGAAAGCTGGAAAAAATCCTCTACAGTAATTTAAGAGGAGAACTATTTAAGTTAAAAGGAGGAAATCAAAAAAAGTTAATTGCTTGCAGGTAGCATGTAACTGTTTAGTATGACCTGAAGCAATCCCTGCATTTCTTTCTTCTGAAAGAGGCGCGTTTCATGAGTGGAACTAATAAGTGAATGCAGTGTAGAAGGAGCAGTAAAGGCAGATGTGACTACAGCAGGGAAGAAAACCTGTTTGTGATACCTCTGCTGTGGTAACCCTGGATTACTTTTATACTGACCATAGTTCATGGTTCATAGTTCTGACTCCTTTTTCAAGCTTGGAGAGGCATTCTACTTCTGTAAGTAACCAAGCAACGGAAAAAAGGTAGGTAAGATTTTATGGCTGTAGCAATAAACTGAAGTACAAAGAAAAAATATACCTGAGAATCCACTGCAACTAGCATTAAAGGAGCTTTAGGAAGGAGGAGTCTTTCTCAGAAGGCTCTCTGTGAGGACTCTTCCTTTAGCTTGCTAAGCAACAGAAAATAAAAAGACGAATAAAAATACCATTGCAATCCACCACAGTGCCACTCCACAGATCTTCTGTGTGCACGTACGCCAGAGAGCAATCTAAGTGCTGTTCATTGAGAAGGGACACAGAGGCATGTTAGCATTAATCAGGTTTCTGTAAGTGGCTCTGTAAGAGGCAGAAGTAAGTAGCTAGTTAAAAGTCCTGTCCATAAATAAAAGGGGGAATGCGGACTGTAAGAGCTATGCTTCAGGTGTTTTTTAAGAGGTGATGCTAGGATGAAAGAAACCACCTCTATGCTTATTTCTTAACTACCCGAGCAGCCTGTTTGTGAGGTTAGGACCTCTCAGTTCTCCTCGCACGAGGCAGGCAGGATGCGGCCGCGCCGCGCGCGGCCCTGTGGGGCTGCGGGTGGGCCGGACCGGGGGCG